TACACTCAAGATAATATATATAGATATTTATATTGATATTTATGATATATATACTCACTATAATATATATTGGGTTAATGTTACTTAAAGAGTATAAGTACAGAGTGTATCTCCAAGTGTAGACCAATATTGTTTTCTAGGTAGGACTTCCTATAAAGGAAAATCAATTCTAGCCTTAAGTTTTCCAGATAAATTTATAATGCGAAATGTGAAAAATAGCCACAGCTGTTCTGATACTGTTGGAGAAGCTCGCCAAATGCGACACGTTTTTTCCATCAAGTATTGAGATGTATGTGGGAGTGAGAATGTGATTGAGATTTATAAAACAGAATTGTGCGCCTTTATAAATCTGATGAAAACAAAGCATAATTCTGTCTTTGTGTGTAGTTTTAGTCGTGGATCTACAAGTTTTATGCATCTGGCTGCTGGTCTTGGACTGGACGAAGGTGGTTTTGACTGCAGCACTGGTTAAACTATATCTCTTATATATTGGGCCAGGAGCTGACTGACTGCAGGTATATCTCGACTAACTGTTGTAATATTTCAGGGTAGACAGCACAGAGTGAAGGTGAAAGCCGGAGCGGAGACATTTTATTGCTAACTGATGGACGGTTTCTTCAACATCTTGTCTGACAGCGGTTTCTAGTGAGAGTGTTTTCTGTGACCTGTTGACCTCTGAACTGGAAGCCCTTCCTGTCTGCTCTCCAGGGCTGCAGGCCGGCGTGTTGACACTCAGCGGCAGGAAGTGAGTTAACACAGCAGCCGACATGATGGATCTCGCATGAAAACAGTGAATTATAGGAACGCTTCCTTCCCTGTCGGAACCTGGAGCTCCCTCTTTCTCCTTCTCTTTTTCTTTTTCTCCTCCTTTATGTCTCCATCTGTTCATCTCTCTGGCTTTAATTCAAGTGTTTCTATGATGTCTCATTTATTTGACACATTTATTCATTTGATGATTTGAAGTTGATGATTGTTTGAGCTCGGCCGTAATTTCAACTTTATTCATTTTATTTTGGTGACAAAACATCCATGAGTTTAAGTTGGTCAAAGTTTATTTGTCAGGATCTTTTTATATAACCAACACTGCGACCTTTCATCGAGCACCTGTGACCTGCCCACTTTTTTATTTCATCTGTTTCAGTTTTTCACATCCTGTCACTCGTTCTCTATTTGGCTCATCTCTTTCTCTCTCTGATAACATCCTCAGTTTCCTCTGATCCTAATAATACCAAATGATAATCATGCTGACAGTAACACATCCTGTAATCCTCTGTCGCATCCCCTCCACTCTTTTCATCCGCCCTCCTGCAGCCTCGTATCTTTCACTCACTTTAGTGTTTTTACTTTCAAAGAGGGAGTTCAATATATTGTTTGGTGGGTGAAATTAAACTTTAACATTTTAAAAGCTAAGTCTGGTAATATTGTGGGTTCTCCATGTTGTCAAAAAATCTCATGTTCAGACAGCAGTGACAGAACCTGTATTCTTTCTAAAGGCCAGCAGGGGGCAGCTCCACTGGCTGCAAAAAAGAAGTCTGATAGTATTGAATGTTATGGGGAAATGAGCCAACTTCTGACTTAATTTATTATCTTAGTAAACAGTTTCCTGATGAGTTTATGGTCTCAGTCACTCGTCAGTCTTTCCAGGAAGTTTGCAATGACAATGAACACTAATTCACCCCAACTTGTCTGCAAATTGGACATACAGCAACAAACTCACTCCCATAAAGTCCAATTGAATTCGCACTGGAAGTTGCCTTCAAGATAAAGCTTGTACAATTTTCATCACAGTAGAGGATCAATTCATCAGTTTTGTTTTCTGGTCTGTAAAGAGCACTGAAGCATTATGGGGCTGCTGGTGTGACTCTACACTTTTAGAGAAACTTTTTTTAGTTTCTGGGCCGTGTGAAGTTACAAAAATGCAAAGTCAGCTTTTCCACTTTTGTTTGAGCCAAAGGAAATTAACAGCATGTAGGATTACAAAGCTGAAGTGTGACAGAACACACCTGTACTCAGAGGAAGAAACAGCACAAACACGGCGCTGTGCACTCCAATAGCTGCTAACCTCACCACTTTACATGCACCGTCTGTAACCATCTGTTGTAAAGCGGAAGCAGGGGAGCATGTCTCCAGAGAGATGGATCCAAAGAAAATAACTCATCATCCCCCTAACGCAGAAATGGATCCGGGAAGGAAGTGATTTAGCACCGTCCCTGGACGGGCGTCTAATGGGCCAGGAAGGGAAATCAATCTTGATGCATTCATGAAACATCTCATTGGTGTCTTTTTGCTCTGACTGTGTTGGAGAGCGAGGCAGCATATCCTTTGGTGAAATAATAATAATGGTGAATAGAACACAGAGAGCTACTGAGAGTGAGCAGAAAGTGGAAAATTAAATCAGGTTTACTCAAGTGGCTCCCGAATCTGTGAATGTAAATGAGATGTGAAGCTTCTCCTGGTACAAATATATCAAACAGCTCAGAAGGACACATTAACAGATATTAAATGACTTTATGTCGGGAGGTGCTTTGTTTCTCCAGCTGACCGGTCTCTCACCAGGTCACTGGGTTTTGGGGCTCCAACCTCTCTCTCAGGCCCCGCAGTGGTGACCCCTCGATCTGGATCAAAAGACTCACCGGGGGCCCTGCTGGCCCTCACTGACCCCAGAGAGGATCATCTGCAAAAACCAAAGTGTGCTCAGGGTTTGAAAATAGGACCAGATGTTCCCAGCTGGAGATTAAAATCACATTAAAAGGACATAAATCTGATCGTTTTTGTGTTTTCACCTTCTGATTTCCAGCAGCAGTCACTGACATACTCCAACTTTTGATGTCACTTCACTGATGTGGTTCAGTGTTTCATGCAGCAGCAAATTAAAGTAGTGCTTAAAGTGTTTTTAAGCCCTTCTGATCTGTAATATTGTAGCCCAATTTTATAATATGTTATATTTATTTGTATTTTTATATCACATTCCAATTGTTTTTACCCCCTAAAACAAAATATGACGCCGACTTATGTAACCAACCAACCACCAATAATCTCCTGACATTCACCCGTCAATCAATCTTCAACTTTTAGCGACACAGAGCGAAGATTCATTAGTTAGCTAGCTAGCTAACAGCATGGCTTTATCTATACGTTATTATTATCAGTGAATCTTCTGGGACACAGAAACCAGACTTAAGACGTCTGGTGGCTGAACAGCGAGGCGTTTTTTCAGTCGAGATAGGAGAAAAACTTTAGCATGAAGTCAGCAGAACTACCCTGAAAGTGGAGCTGTAACTTCCCTTTGTGCTATTTAGGCTGCACCTGCACCGAGAGCTGGCCGTGGGTTCGGATGTCAGAGCAGAGAAACCTTACAGCTGTTGATCTGCAGACACAAGAACTCCACAAGGTCATCTGTCAACCAGAACCAGAACCACCTGCAGCCGACTGATCACACCATACATTAACAGCTTTTATTCATAGCGAATAACATTCAGAAAGCCAATAGTGAGTTTGTCAGTGTCTATCCAAACATTATTCTGTTATGATCACGACAATTAAAAAAAACTCAACCAATTCCTGTGATTTCTGCACAACTTTGCAATTGTTTTCCACAAATTTGACCAATCATTGTAGTTTACTGCGAGTTTAACCAATCACAGCAGTCCCCTGTGCAAAATGTTGAGCTATATGACACCAAACTAGTTTATTCTTATTGGAACAAGTTGCCTTTGATTTTTAATTATAATATATAAATTTTTTTAAATGTCGACTTTCTCCTGCAATTTCATTGCAAAGATTTGGTTAAAAGCATTATGTGTCAACATGTATTGCAATTGTTTTTACAAAAGCTGCTGTTAAATCAGGTATTTTAGGCCACCACAACCCTGAAAATGATTTCCTGGTTTCCAGGTGCTGCTGGAACTGATCCAACCACAAAAGACATAGACTGGACATAGTGGGAAGGCAGGTTGAAGTGGCAGCACAGAAAGATCTGATTAGCAAAAGGTTAGGCAGTATCAAAAACGATAACCAACAAACTAGGATAGTGTCAGTATCACATAGGAGTGTGGATGAAAAAGCAGGGTTCAGTCTTTATCAGGTCATTACTGTGGTAACAGCACGTGCACTTTAATAATGCAGTTGAGCAGCCACTTTGTCATAAATCCAGCGTTGTAGTGTTCCTGTTTACAGTGCAGCCAAACAAACTGGAGTTGCTTTAATAAAAAACTCAATAATATTTAACCTCCGTCTGACTTTATGCTGCACACAGCCAGTAGTTTCACACAGTAACAGACTCTGTGATACAGTAACGTCAGCAGCTGACGTCTCCACAGAACCCTGCGACCACTGAGGACGTGAGACTGGAGCTGTTAGGACACTTTAGAGAACAACAGGGTTCAGGACGATAAATAAACCTTGGCTGTTTCTCCCAGCTGATTCCTCCCAGATGTTAAAGTGCAGGTCTGCGGGGTGGAGGCTTCCCGGCGGGATGCAGGAGGATTCTGGGAGAAGAAATGTGACCCAGGCGGTCTCCACCCAAACACGTAAAGTTTTATTGTCTCCAGCACCAAACCTAAAAATTTGTACTAACATGATGTCCTCCTGTTATTTTTGTGCCTGATTTCAAGGCAGCTTTCTAAAAATCTGCAATGCATGCTGGGCTGTTTTTAGGCATTTTATGTAACAAAATTGGAGAAGAAAGTGATTTTATTTGTTCATTTATTGAATTCATTAAATATCGAAGGCAAACTTTTGGAATTTCCCCATTGTGGGACTATTAAAGGAATATCTTATTTTAAACTTGTTCCAGTGAGAATAAAATCGCAGTGTTTGGAGGGTTCCAGGTTACCTTACAGAAAAGGATTATGGGGGGTAAATGTGAGATTGCAGGGTCGTGCTGAATCCACAGGGATCTGGTACACCATGTCTCTGAAGTGGACAGGCTTGGGGAGTAATGGATTACATGTAATTGTAATCAGCATACAAAAAAAGGTAACTAAGAGATAGATTTCTGTTTATTTATAATAAAATTGGTTTTATTATGTAAAAACAGTGCACATGGTCTTCAAAAGTCTCACACTGTGGTCTGCAGTGAAACCAGAACTGGTCTTAATTGTGGCCTCTTCAGCTGGACAGAAACAACGTCACAGTACAGTGCAAGTGGCCTCCCAGCATGAAGATTCATACTTTTATAGTCTGAATTTGCTTCATGAAAAGTTTTTCTTTGAAAACACACGGAGCAGAGGAAACACTGTCGATGCTAAAAATGTTGGTTTCCATTTTCTTTTCTAAGGTCACTTTGTTCTGTTGTCTTATTGAATACGTAAAAGCTAAATTTGTATTTTGTTTTCAGTTTGAATTGTTTTATGTTTGTCGTCTGTGCTTCTTGGCTAAGACACTTAAATAAAGTAAATTTAAATATCCACTAATCACAGTAAATCCATTAAAATGAGCTGGTTTTAGTTTCTACTTTCATCTCAGCATCTGTTTAATGAGGATGAGATAAAAAACTCCTTAATGGCTCGGCTCCCTC